TCTTTCCCTCTCTTCTTCTTCAAAATACTCTAATCTCCTCAAAACCCCAACTACCCTTTCCTTCCCTTTCTCCCACCACTCCCACTCTCTCACCATCAAATCCTCCGCCGCCGCCACCATCCCAACTCCCACTACTTCTGCCAACCAATTCCGAGTTGATGTACTATCAGAATCCCTACCTTACATCCAGAAATTCAGGGGCAAAACCATTGTCGTCAAATACGGCGGCGCTGCCATGAAACAACCTGAACTCAAAGCCTCTGTTGTAAGCGACCTTGTCCTCCTCTCTTGTGTTGGTCTCCGCCCTGTTTTAGTCCACGGTGGTGGCCCAGAAATCAACCACTGGCTAAAACTCCTCAACATTGAGCCTCTCTTCCATGAGGGTCTCCGCGTAACTGATGCCAAGACTATGGAGATTGTTTCTATGGTATTGGTGGGTAAGGTTAATAAAGACCTTGTTTCTTTGATCAATAAGGCTGGTGCCACCGCGGTTGGCCTTTCTGGGATGGATGGACGCCTTCTTATGGCCAAACCAACTCCCAATTCTGCCCAGTTGGGGTTTGTTGGCGAGGTTGCACGCGTAGACCCCACTATTTTGCAGCCTCTTGTTAATAATGGGCATATACCAGTGATTGCATCCGTGGCGGCGGATGAGTTGGGCCAGTCCTATAACATCAATGCTGACACTGTGGCAGGGGAGGTGGCTGCTGCATTGGGGGCCGAGAAGCTGATATTGTTGACGGATGTGGCCGGGATACTTGAAAACAAGGATGATCCAGGGAGTTTGCTGAAGGAGATTGATATAAAGGGAGTGAAGAAATTGATTGATGAGAAGAAAGTGGCTGGTGGGATGATACCGAAAGTGAATTGTTGTGTGGCATCACTTAGTCAAGGTGTTAGAACTGCTAGTATTATTGATGGAAGAGTACAACATTCTTTGCTTCATGAGATTATGTCTGAAGAAGGCATTGGTACTATGATTACTGGCTAGTTTATTCAACTGTTTTTGTTCTTGCTTGCTTGATTACGGAAGATCAATTTAATTTTAAAGCTCTGTACTTTTTGATACTGCTTAATTCAAGCAAGCAAAGCCTTTCGTTGATGTTTACTGTTTTTCGTTGACGGGTTTCTATTAAATTTATTTGTGTTTGTCAATGATGATTGATTGATTTGATGACTCCAGCAATTAGAAATCTTGAGTAGTTGATTAAACTTAAGAGTCGAGCCAAGGCACATAACTGGATGACTTGCTAGGGTTATTGTCTGCAAAATGACTTGTTCACTTCTGTAAATTCAAATCCATTGCTCTGGTGACGTCGAAGGCCATTCAAAAGGTTCCTGTTTGATGTTGAACCATCTGCTTGAATGACCAAGTCATTGTATCCACAACTCACTCACCTACATGGCCGGATCTGGCCATGCCTTAGGTCAACGTCGAACTGGAGCCTCCTCTGGCTTCTGGTAGGGCATCATTTTTATGATTTTGGGCATTGGATTCGGAGCGTGTTGGAAGATGGGTTTGAGGTTTAATAATATAATTAACTATAAACTCTGTGGTGCATGTTGAAAGATTTGGTGCTAATGGCAGAATCATTGTGTGTGAATAGACTAGGAGGAACTGCAATGCATCAGAAATAGCCATCTAGTTCAGGTCATTTTTCGTCTCACTTTTGGAATTCGATTCTGTGGTCTAAGCTTAACCAAGTAGTGAAATCTACTCCCGTAACGAGTCCTGCTTGGCTGCCACAATATTTTTACCAAATCCACGTCACCAACCTACACCTTTTGTCATACAAAATTTTCCTTTACTCTGATTTTACAGGATGGTTATTACTTTCATTTACTCATACGGAGGAATGATTTAGAAAATGTTCCGAAGGTATATGTTTATTGTCTGGAACCTATGATGGATTTGTGCAGCTTCTCGCAGGATCAACTGCGCAAGTATCTGTGACGTATATACCCTCACAAGCACCCAATCCTGATCCTAGAGACATCAATTTACAAGTACAATAAACGAAAATCCATCCCTGAAGAGAACTAATTCACCAACTGAACCTGAGAATGCCTGGTAAGCATAACAGGTTCCCTGCGAATACATAGGGCACTGGTAAGCAAAGAGAGCGGGGGGGGGGGGGGGGGGGGGGGGGGCATTATTAATCCAAAGAGAACCTGCATTTGTTATATTAAAAACAACAACCAACAACAACGAAAAGGGCAGGTACATATATATGGCTACAGAGGGAAGATACATCAATGCTCCCCTACTACTACAGCTAGGAAACCATGACCTTCAACCACGCTACTCCAGTACAATTGACACCAAAAAACAGAAACCATCAATCTAAATGGTCAACTTCTCCCTATCTTGAAAAAAAAAATACTGATACATACACAAACATACAAGTTCAGTTCATACAGCTTCAGTTTATACTTCAGTTTTCATTTGTATCCTCTTTACGATCTGTTTTTCGGTCGTATGTTCTGGATCAGTCAACTGTCATGGGTTGAGTCATGCAACACCTGAAACGTGCCTTGCGCACACTAGTCATGATCTCAGTTTCAGCGTTCTCAAGCATCCTGACAATCTCAGTGAAGGGGGGGCGGACTTCAGGATTGGTGTCCCAGCAGCGGGTCATGATGTCACTCAGTACAGGCAGACAATCATTTGGGATAACTGGCCTCACTCCCTTGTTCACCACTGCAAATGCAGCCTGCACTGCTGTCATGTTCTGGAAGGGGAGCAAACCTGTTATGAGCTCCCAAAGGACAATCCCAAAACTATACACATCCACCTTCTGCGTATAGGGCCTATGCTGAATCATCTCTCTGTACAAATGGGCAAGTCAAAGACATAAGAGAACAGTTACAAACACAACCTGTTGCCAACAATTGACATAAGTTTGCAGATTCATAAAAACAGCTATTCAGAAAAACTCATATATATTTGATTTTTGGTAGAACTAAGAATATAAAGCTTACTGTAGTGCAACAAACAAACACAATAATTGATTCCCTAGAGCATGCATCAAACTCCAATTAATAATCATTGGATTCCCTTCTAGAAAAATATATTTAAGCACAGGCAAGAACTTCCATGTACACAAACATAAACCTCTGTTATGGAAGACAATCTGTTTCATTGAGAAACAAACAAGTTATCAGGTTTTTTCTTGGAGCAATCATGTCTACCAGCAAAACCATATTGTATGATAGTATATGAAAAGCTTGGCCTTAAAATAGCGATGTGCTGAATAAACAGGTAAAAGTTTTGATTTATTTATTTGGTCACACGTGATCCCATGTTCCCAAGGAAGATAGAAATGATATGATATTTCAAACCTACAAGAAACCCCACCTCATCTAAGTGATGCCATCAAATGAAAAAAGAGATGACATCATTTAACAAAAAAAATAATATTAAAACAACATCATTCAATTAATTAAAAAAAAAAAGCTGAAGAAAGTCTGGTGTGCCCCAAAAAAGGAACCGGACTTAAATGAGCAATTATTTATTTACACATTTGAATGCTGCTTACATTCAAAGATTTAGGTCTAGCTTGTTTAGCCAGATGCAAATCAGAATTCTAAAAATGACCATTCCTTATAAAGAAATCAAGCCCCATTACGTAATCCTTGCCACATGACTTGTTAAGTTTAAACTGATTTGCAAGTTCTAATTAACATCAAAAGGGGGTAGAATCAGAAGAGGGGTGAAAAATCTAGGAAAATCTTTGTGAAGACAAGTGAAAGATAGAGCTCTTCTTACGGTATCTATCCCTTTTACAACACAATCACACCATATAAATGTCTAAAACAAGTTACTCCATTGAGAGACACCATGATCGTTCACTAGAAGTTCTCGCGGCACAGTCAAGATGTGAAAAGTGGAGCTGCCTTTTAAGTTGCTAAAGTTAAACTGTATTTAGTGGGAAAAACAACAGAGAGAGAAAACAGGGAAAAAGACACCAGTTGCTAGTTCTTCCATCCTAATGGCAAAATAGCATAGCACTTCAAAGGACAATGCCATAGAATTCAAATACTCTAAAGGAAACCTTCCCACATGATAAACATGTATATTGCTTCATTTGCCACCATCAGTCTCCATCTATGGAACTAAACACGGTGGGGATATAAATCTTTGAATTGATTTGTAAAAAGGGACATCCATGCAAGGCAAGTTATACATAGACACACAACACAACATGCACAAGAACAAAAAGGGAAGAAATTCTCAACTTTCTAAAATGTCTCCCTCATTTATTATTGGTGTTTCATTCCTTTATTTAAACAACAACACACAATGAGGAAAATAACAACCATTTCTTCAAAAACTTATAATTACTACCATTCCATGCGAGATCTGTTAATCACATGGTAAAATAAAAAAAATTAACATTGTAAAACACATCAATCCAATTAGGAACAAAAGTTCAACACATATGCATGACAACCATAAAGTAACACACAAAGAAAACTCAATGCGTAAAAATTTTAGACTTACGGAGCCATCCAACGATATGTCCCAGTTTCCGGTGTCATCCCCTCAGTCTGCACCTCAATCCGTGCAACACCAAAATCAGCGATTTTTATAGATTTATCAGCTGAAATCAGAAGGTTATCTGATTTCAAATCACGATGTATAAATCCAAGTCCATGAACATATGCCATTCCCCTTGCGACATCTAATGCTTGCTTGACTGCCAATTTCAATGGCACTGCACGATTCTGCCTCCTTGTTAGAAACTGCCTAACTGACCCTCCCTTTGCATATTCGGTCACAATACACCAAACCATGGGCTTACGGCAGCCCCCAATAAATCGCACAATATTGGAGTGCTTTAAATTTGCAAGCATCATAACTTCTTGCTGGAACTGCTGCTCCATCAATTGTGCCTTCTCAGGGCTATTTTCTGGCCTCTCTAATATCTTAATTGCAACATCCTCCCCATTATATGTTCCTCTATATAACTTTCCAAAAGCACCTTGGGCAAAGGCTGTCCCCATATTGAGTTTTCTCAAATCAATTGTCCATTCATCATAATTCTGCAGCCCCTCAGTTGGGTACTTAGGATCCATCAATGCTTGAGCTAACGCATCATCATTTAGTGCATGGGTGACCTTCCCCGGGCGAAACACACTCTGTCCCACCGAGACACTGTAGTTGTGGTGATTGACAGGTTTTAAACCTGGATGGCTTAAGATGTGGGTTAAAGAATCACTGGATCCCACACTACTATTATCCACTGACATTGAGACAGATCCACCTGCATTGCTTGTTTGTAAACTGTCGATAGACATGTTGGTGCCCTCACCAAGTTTTTGGTAAAACCCTTGAGTGAAATCATAGTAGTTGTTCTCATTGTTGGTATTTCCTCCTATGATTCCAGTAAATTTGGGCCCTTCCACCATTTTTCCAATCATGAATGCTAGTTAGAATGAAATCAACAAGACCCAAATCTTCTTATCCAAAATTAGTCACACTCATTAGATGGTGCAGTATCTCCAGATGGGACCTAGAAACAAACACAAATGAAAACTTTTAAGCTAAAATCAACATCAAACCACAACTCCATTTGACTTTGACAGGTGTTGCATTCACTAATTTTCTTAGTATTTGTTGAAACGCACAATTAATGTGAGACAAGAACGCAATTGAACATAAAAGGACAGAAATCTGTAAAAAAGCTAATCTTCTAGTGATGATTAGGAAGCTGATAAAAGGAAACAAATTGACACATAACAGACAAATCGTTAACTAATCCTCCCCACAGAACAAGACCAATTTAGGAACCTGTATGGGGGCAAATTGCCTTAACTGATTATACCAGAAAGCAAATATATAAACATTATAAAAAGAAATTTACATCTCTGAAGTGAAAAAGACATGCCTTTGCAATTATTGCATGAATTATCGAAACCTGAAACTCCTCAGAGAGATTCAGTCATCCAGATCCTAGACTCTCCTTCTGTGATAAAAACACCATAACTGTTAACCAAAACACACAGACACAAGTTTTTTACATGACAAGACCCTCAAAATCAAAACCCATCAAGCCATTGAAACAACTAATTGAGAAAGACTAAGAAGGCAGAAGATTGAGCTGCAATTTGACAAATTCAACTTGTAAAGACTAAATTTGACAAATTCAAAGCTTAAAGCTTTATGAAATGAAAAGGAGGGTCTGACAGATATTAGATCAGGTAATTAGAAATAAATCACGAAAAGAGCGTCAATAAAGATAAAAGAAAAGGTAATAGAAATGGTTGCATACCTATTACCTACCTGATGGTTACTAGTTTTTAGTGAAAGGAAGAAGAAGGGATCAACAGCAGCAGCAACAATGTCTTAATTCAATTCTCCAGGTACTTTTTACTATAAAAAATCACAAAGTAGAGGAGGAGGAGCAGGAGTTGTTTCGATGATGAACAACAACTACAGAGAGAGAGAGAGAGAGAGAGAGAGAGAGAGACAGACCAGTCTTCTCTTTGCATTTACTTTCAAAGTCTCAGTTTTTGTTTATTTATTTATATTTTGTTTTTTATTATTTTTACAAGGACATAAATGTCTTTGAAATTGAATAACTTTACTGTCATTCTTTTGTGTTTTTTTTTTTGGTTTAATAGTCTAATCTACAGAAGGTTATGGGCCATGAAAACACTTGCTTCCAAGTTCTCCATTTGAGTCATAATCCTTTGAATTCTCACAATTTTTCTTTAATATATGTTGTCAATGGGCACTACTGGAATTTCAAATTTACAATATGAGAAGGAACTAGGAAGATAGCAGCAGCTTTAAAAACAAAGTTTATTACATTGTGTTCTGGGTGTGGAATGTTGGGGAAAAAAATATTCTCAATCATAATTTATATTTTTTTTAAATGAATATTTGGTATTATAAAGTATGATGTTTTTTACTTAAAAATATATTTAAATAATATTTTTTATATCAACACATTAAAACTATCTAAAAACATTAATTTAATTCTTTTTCTAAGGTAAAAAATTCTTTTAAAAAATATACTATAATATAAAAACAGAAACTTGAATATGAGCAAAAACTACCATAATTCAAAATTAAAATCCCCTTAAGCTAAGAACAACAATGGCCTAAAACTCCACTTAACAAAAAATCAAGTACAAAATAAAAATTATTCAAATTCATTTATAGTTTTGCCCTGGATTCTCAAGCAAAAAACTTTGATCAATCCCTCCTCGTAAGTTTACATGTTTCAACATTCTAATCATTAAAAAAAACAAAACAAGACAGTAGCTTCCATATTTTGAAAATCATGATAATACAACAGCAATTATTTGTTGACGCCGTCTTTATTATTATTGTTGTTGTTATTAATTGGGTCTGATACATGCCCCATCCAGGTGGACTTCATTTCTACATGTATGATGTCAAATTGTCACCCAAAAATGCATCCCCGTCGAGAACGCAAAGCAACAACGTGTTACACAGCCCTCTCAACTCGTCAAGTCTTGACATCAATAATTTGCAGAGAGAACCAGCATCTGCATCTGCATCTGTTTGTTATGTGAATCGCAAGACATCACTAATGACAATTCTCCATTGATTCTCCCCCGCTATTACTATAGGACCTTCGACCATGCTACATCAGTGCAATTGACTAAAACAACCCAGCAGTCTAAATGGATGGCATCTTCCTATCTTGCAAAAAGAAAATAAGGGTAAAGGAAAAGAACACTGATACATAAACATACAAGTTCAGTTCATACCAAGTGTCAGTTTAATAATACAATTTTCATCTGTATCCTCATTAACATCTGTCTTTCTTCTTTTTTTCCTTTCTTTTCCGGTCTTCTATTCTGGATCATTCAACTGTCATGGGTTGAGCCATGCAACACCTGAAGCGAGCCTTGCGCACATTAGTCATGATCTCAGTTCGAGCATTCTCAAGCATCCTAACAATCTCGGTGAAGGGAGGACGCACTTCAGGGTTGGCATCCCAGCAGCGGGTCATTATGTCACTCAACACAGGCAGACATTCATTTGGGATAATTGGCCTTACCCCCTTGTTCACCACAGCAAATGCAGCCTGCACAGCTGTCATGTTCTGGAAGGGAAGCGAACCTGTTATGAGCTCCCAGAGAACGATTCCAAAGCTGTACACATCCACCTTTTGTGTATAAGGCCTATGCTGAATCATCTCTCTGCATGAATGGGTAAATTAAAAACATAAGCTGTTAAAAGCATAATCTCTGGTAATCAGCAAAAGCATGCAGATTCTTGAAAATGGCAATTCAGAAAAACTGATGTGTGTTGCAGTCAAGTGGCATTAAGAAGATCAAGTTTTATAGTAGTTATATAAACCAATTGATTTGCCAGAACATGCATCAAATTCCACTTACTCCTAAACCTTTCTGAAAGAATATACAAATATTCATAGATAGAAACATTAACATTTCCCCACACATGCAGACTGTGAAACACATAAGTCGGAGGTTTACATGGAGCAGGCATGGACGTAAGCCACTCATATAAAATATCCAAAGAAAAAATCGTGGCCTTCAATATTGCAATATTGGTCTACTAAGAAATGTTTCATCGTTTTCAATAAAATACTCTAAAATTGAAAAAAAAATACATTTAAGGTTAGAAATGAAATGGGGAAGGAGATGCAGACAAGGAACTATATTCAATATCGTACAAGTTTGCTTTCATGTCTGGTACAGATGTTATTTCCAATCTACAACCTTTTCCTCCTCTTCCTGTAGCATACACCATGACAACAACCATAATCATTGACATTACCGCATGAGGAAATAGAAGCAATGATTTTCCATTCTGTATTGAGAAAGGGCAACATGATTCCATTTAGTTCACAAGATTTTTACTTAAGTTTGGACATACAAAACAGAAAAGGTGGTACCGAATGTGTAGATATAATGCACCAAACTTTGCACAGCAATTATTTATTCATGCAGCTCCTTCCTTTTTTTCAAGAATGATTTATTTATTAATACATTTCAATATTTGTTATATACAAATATTTAGGTCAAGCATCTTCAGCCAATAAATCAGAATACTAAAAGAGTAGAAATTCACCAAAAGCAAATCTTGCATAAAAATACAATGCCTGCAATATGGAAGTAATTTTAAACCAAATCGGTAGTTTTAAACAACATCAAAAGCACATACGAATAGGAGAAAGAAGCAAATCAAGGGCAAGGCTTAAGAAGACAGGTGAAAATTACAATTCCTTTTTGAGCACTTAGCCATTTTATCAATATCGCAACCGCATCTTAAAGACAAAACCATGCAAGTTGTCGCACCTCAGTCTACAACAAATCACATTTTTCATGACATGAAAGATGGAGTAACTTTTTAAGGTACATTTCAGCCCTCACCAGAAGATACAAGTATATTGGTTGGTAAGAAAAAAGAAAAAAAAAGAAAACAGAAGCAACTGCCTCTCTTCCATCCTAATTTTAGAGTAGCATAGCACTGCAAACAACAATGCCACAGAAGTTCAGAATTTTCAAGAAAAGCTTTCCAAATATTCGACCGAAAGTGTTCATGTCCAGTACTTGTCCTGCTATCATCAACTCCTACCAGAAGAAGTAGCTACCATTATTGTCATCCAATGAAATCAGGGTAAAAGGGAAACCTCCATGAAGAGGGAAGCTATGCACGCTATTGCCCACTCACTTAAAAGGAAGAAAAAGTAAGAGATAAATAAGCATTTCCAAAAACTGATGAAAACCTCAACTTCCTAAAAATTTCTTTCTCAATCACGGTGCAGTGTTTTACTTTATTTATGTGGCAACTCCAAACAATGGTGTGGATTACCAACATTCCTTAAAAACCTATATCCACTACCATTCATGCTCAGTCATGCAATAAAAGGGAAGAAATCTATTGTAACAATACGCATTTATCAGAAATAGAACCCAGAAAATGGTACAATCACATGCCCACAACAGAAAATATGCATGCAATCATAAAGTAAACTAAAAAATGAATTAAAACTCAATGTATAGAAGGTGCAGACTTACGGAGCCATCCAGCGGTACGTCCCCGTTTCAGGTGTCATCCCTTCAGTCTGCACCTCAATCCTTGCAACACCAAAATCAGCAATTTTTATTGATTTATCTGCTGCAATTAAGAGGTTATCTGACTTCAAATCCCGGTGTATAAACCCAAGTCCATGAACATATGCCATTCCTCTTGCAACATCCAAAGCCTGCTGGACTGCTAATTTCAATGGCACTGCCCGATTGTGCCTCCTAGTCAAAAACTGCCGAACTGACCCGCCTTTTGCATATTCTGTGACGATACACCAAACCATTGGCTTCTGGCATGCACCTATAAACCGCACAATGTTCGGGTGCTTTAAATTTGCAAGCATCATAACTTCCTGCTGGAACTGCTGTTCCATCACTTGTGATGTTTCTGGGATATTCTCAGGCCTCTCTAATATCTTAATCGCAACATCCTCCCCATTATATGTTCCTCTGTATAACTTTCCAAATGCACCTTGAGCAAAAGCTGTACCCATATTGAGTTTTCTCAAATTGATTGTCCAGTCATCATAATGCTGGAGTCCTTCGGTTGGATACCTATTATCCATCAATGCTTGCGCCAATGCATCGTCATTTAGGGCATGGGTGACTTTCCCTGGACGAAACACACTCGCGCCCACTGAGACATTATAGTTACGGTGGTTGACAGGTTTCAAACCAGGATGGCTTAACATGTGCGTTAAAGAATCATTGGATCCGACACTACTGTTGTCCACTGACATCGAGACAGACCCACCAGCATGGCTTGTTTGTAAACTGTCAATGGACATGTTTGTACCATCACCAATTTCTTGGTAAAAACCTTGTGTGAAACCATAATAGTCGTTACCATTGTTGTTACTTGGTGCCATTAGTCCAGTAAATTTTTTACCCTCTACCATTTTCCCAAACAATAATGAAGAAACTTGTCAAGAAAAATCAGGGACACAATTCTTCTTATTGTAAACTCCTGAAACTTGTGGAGATAAATCCAGTGACGCAATTCTTCTTAGTGCAAACTCCTGCAAGTCATCTAATGTTACAGTGTCTCCGATACATGCACCCTAGAACCAAACACAAAAGCGAGCACATTCAGCTGTACCTTCCAAAATCTAGAGACAATTTATAGTCAGCAATGCACTGTTTTGGCAGCTCATGCATTTATTTACTAATGAAATGGTTGAAATAGTTGTTTATAACAAGTTACAGGAAATCATTACTGAGTGGGGTACGATATCCTAAATCTTTAATGCAGTTTGCACTTGCACCAAAGCACGATTAATAGGGAAAGAACACGACAGGACGTAAAAAGACAGACACGATTATAAGACTTGAAAGATTTGTAATGAAGATTAAGAAGCACAAAATGAAACAACTAGACAAGTAACGGAAAAATCACTCTCTAATCACCGTGGAATTAAAGACAAAAGAGGTGAGAAACAGGTAGTTAGGGAAACCTATTTGTCCATGGATGGGGTTAAATAACAGTCCTAATGTGAGAGAACGAAAATAGAAACATTGTAAAGAGATAGATGATACCTCTGGAAGAACTAGTTAAGACATCTTAAACTGATTTGAAGCCACAGCACCCACAAAAAAGTATGTGTCTTTCACTATCTGCCATCAAAACATAAGAAATCAGTCAAACAAAAAAAGGACACAAGCTTTCCACATGAGACGACCCATCACACCCCCACCCTCAAAATCAACCAAAACCCTTGAAAGTATTTTGAACTTTCCAAGACATGGTTTTTTTCTCGGGGAACAAAAGGATCAAGAGAAAGATTAGAGCTTTGTATATAGAAATGCGAAAAGAGGAGGGGGGTTAGACAGAAATTAGATCAGCTAATTAAATAAAAAATAAGACATCGTGAAAAAAAAAATAAGAAAAGAAAAGGGAAAGGAGATGAATTCTGTCAGCAATACTGTTATTAATTAATTAATTATATATATAAAAAAAGAAGCAGTGGAAGTAAGAGCTGTGTGGCTAGATAGATACCTAGCAAGCTAGATAGTAATTCTTCGACAATGAAAATGAAAGAGGAAATTAATTGATAGTTAATGATAAAAGCAATGCAGAGGAAGATGAAGAGGAAGAGGGCAAAAAAGAACAGCGACCATAGACAGATAGTCAGTCAGTCAGTCTTCGCTTCTCCTTTTTTTTTTTTTTTTTTTTTTTTGTACTTTCAAGGCTTCTTCGGTTCTCTTTCTTTTTTCCTTTTCTTTTGTCTTCCTCTTAATTTGTCCATTGACACAATTGCCCTCTATCTTTTTGAAATTTACGCCCAGAGCCAACCTACTTATATATATATATAATTTTAGTTTTAATCCAAGTGCACCGGTCCACATAACCTTACATATAATTTTCCATTATTTTAACAATTCAATAATATATTTCAAACATAAATTTACGTACAACTAGACAGTTGAATGTACTATTAATACATGTATTACATATAAAATATTTATTCTACACAATATAATATATGTTAATATTAAATTACAAACCCGAAAATAGTAATATAATATTATTACTAATAATATGTAATTTTTAAGATTAACTATGATCTCCAAAGTAATATTATAGAATTACATGTATCTAATGTACTCATACATTCAAAAGATTTGAACATGTCATTTACAATAATTATAATGGAGTCATAAAAATGCCCTTTTTAATGCTATTCTTTCTGCCTTTGCTCCTTCTGCTAGGTCAGCTGCCCACCGTGTTCTGGGCTTGGCTTGGCTTCTTCGGTTGTGTTGGCCTTCATGGTTTTTCTTCAGCTCTTTTAAATGAATTGGACAGTTGCATCATTATGCACACTCACTTCCCCTCGCCTGGGTCTCTCCCAAGCACTGGCAGAGCTGCTGTCATTTGTTTGAGGCAAATTATTGCCCTCTCAACTTTGCTCTGCCTCTGCTCTTCTTTTTTTTTGGACGGTTTAGTTGGGCTCTTTTTCTCTGGTTTGTCTACCGTTGCCTAAAAAACATGTGGTGGTCCTCTCCTAGCTTGGGGTTTTTTCAGTATTTTCGATCTTCGGTTTCCTGCGTAATAACATTTCAGTTTTTTAGGCTCTTAGTGACAAACTTTTTTCCTGAGCTGGGTTTTAAAGTTTTTGAATCTTTTTTCTCTCCCTGTTACTCTTACCAGCTTGGTCATATTTGGTTACACCATCAGTTTAGCAACTTTTTTTTTTTTATCGTTGCGTCATTTGTCATCTTTATTTGTTGTAAATCTTCTGTTGCTTCTTCTTCCTTTTCACGTTGCTTCCTTTAGGTGCTCTCAGTTCTGGCTGTTATACGTCAACCATTGTTTGCATTGGACCTGTTATCCTTTGTTGCTCTTATTTTGTTGCTTCTGCTAAGGTTAACTAAGCTTTTTCCCACACTTTTGTTTTATTGTTTTAGGAATCACTGCTGTTGTTCATTTGATGCACATCTCCTGCACTTGCCTTGCTCTTTGGCCATATGCTGTTGCACCATCACTTTAGTAATCTTCTTTTTTTTCGTTGCATAATCTGTCAGCTTTTTTAGCCGTAAATATTCTTATGCTTCTTCTTCTTCTTTTCCACGTTGCTTCATTCAAGTGCTCTCAGTTTGGGCTGTTATACGCCAGCCATTGTTTGCGTTGGAACCTGTTATCCTTTGCTGCTCTTATTTTGTTGCTTTTGTTTAGGTTAGTTGAGTTTTTTACCACACTTCTGTTTTGTTGTTTGAAACATCACTGTCATTGTTTGTTTTGTACACATCTCATGCACTTGTTTTGGTCTATTCTCCAGGATTTAGGGGGGATGTAATTTGTTGTTTGCATTTTGATTTTTTCTTTTCATGTCTGCCAGGCTGAATGACTTTGTTTTGCCTTTTTCCAGCGTGTTGTTCTGCCTTACGCTTTTTATGTTTCCCTGTTAACTTTGTCTTCTTTAGTCTATTATTTATATTTTGTTCATTGCATTTTGACCATGGTTTGTATGATGCATATGATTTTTCAAAGCTTTGTCGAGCCTCTCGGAGTTCTCTTCGTTTGGTGCGCTGCATCTGTTTCTTTGTTGGGTCAACGACTTGGCTGTCATCCCATACTGCTTTGTGTAGGTCCTTTTAGCTTGAAAACTTTGCTTCTTGCTTGACTAGCTGTATTTATGGTGAGTGATTTCTTTCCCTGCGATGAACTTCAGATGTTGCGTTTTTCCATGGTCTTGCTTTGATACGCTCTGCTCCTTGCCTGTCTTTTGTTTTGTTGGATCTTCGAACATGCCAACAATGCCATTTTCGACTTGCACCATTTTCATATGGGACCTCTGCTTCAACTTTAGATGATTTTGTGGTCAAGGATACCAACAGTATGCTTGATTCAACTAGCTACTTGGTTGGCTTATTTCATCAAGCTACGCAGAGATTGACAAAGACTGACAATCCTGGATACAAACTCGGTTGCTTAGTCAAAGAAGTCATGACTCAAGGTAGTATAATGATCCATCATCGGATGATATCAGTGGTTTGGTTATCAGAGATATTGGTGATTATCATTCAGAGCGAGATATCATCATCGAAATCTGGTCAGAGGCTTTCCAAAGGATTTCAAAATTGCATCCAAGATTTATGACAGTACAATATCCTTTTTTCCCCCTTTGGTGAGGATGGTTATCAGACTAACATTAGTTTTGCCAACCAAGATGATCAGCTTTCAAGGAAACATCAAAATGTGTTGATGAGAGCTTTCTACGCTTATTTTATTAATGAAAGAGAATATGGTGAAGACAATGTTACAAAAGGTGACTTTACCAATAATTTTTTATCGATGAATTTGCCGATGTTGAGGAAGACAGACTTCATTACATCAGAGAAAACCAAAATGATCTTCAAACCGAGCTTTATAAAGGCATTAACGAAGCTGTTCTTAGAGGGGATGTTGAATTAGGGTCAGCTACCGGAAAAATTATTGTCCCCTCTTCGTTAATTGGCAGTCCGCGATATGTGATAAACAACTACTAAGATGCCATGACTGTTTGCAGGGCATATGAAAATCCAGATCTTTTCATCACAGACACATGCAACACAAGATGGCCTGAAATCCGAGGAGAACATAGAAAAGAGAGAGTTTATAAGCATGAAGACAAGCCTAATGTTAACCCAAATGTTTCAGCTGAAATACCCGATAAGAATCTTGATCCTTTATGTTATGATATTATCTGTAAGTTAATAATACATGGTCCATACGGCTCTACAAAACCAAATGCACAATGTATGCCGAAAGGCAAGTTTGCAAAATCATTTCCAAAGAAATTCAAAAACTCGACTGTTTTTGATGAAAACGAGTTTGTTTATTACAAGCAACGTAAGTGTCGTGATAATTTTGTTCTCAAAAATGGAATTAGACTTTGCAATGACTATGTTGTTCCATACAGTAGAAAACTTTTAACGCAGTAAAATGCGCATATAAATGTTGAGATATGCTGTCAATTAATGCTTATCAAGTATCAGTTTAAAGATATCAGTAAAGGATCTAATAGTACAATGCACATTCTTTAATTGTCAATTCATCTGCCCTCTATGAAGCTATTTGGTGTCTTGTTCAAAATATTGTCTTCTCAGGCAGCAAGTCTCTTCATTCTGTTCTCAGAAGGCTAGGTATTAATAAAGCAATGACTGAATGGTTCGAGTGAAATAAAAAAAGATGCTAGTGCATAAGAAGTTTACTAGTCACAGTTTCCAAGGCTCCAAGCGAATATGTTTGGTATCGAAGATAATAATGGATTGTAAGATCAAGGAAATTTAGCCTTGGACAAATAACATATGTGCATCCTACTGCTGCTGGAGAAGTTTATTTTTCAAAAATGCTTTTAAACCACATATATAAAAGGGCCAACATGGTTTGATGACTTAGTAAAGTTTGCAGCAGGGTTGTTTATCCAACATTTCTACTCACTTGCAGAGCATTGGGGCTTTTAGCTTTAGGTGATGATAAGGAATGGTCCGAAGCTTTCTGTAAAGCCATAGCAACAACAATGTTTCCATAACTTATACAACTTTTCGTCAGTGTTATCCTATTTTGTGAAGTTGTCAGGCCATTGGTTCTTTTCACTCAGTTTTGGCATTCAATGCGCGATGACGATGATATCCTCTACAAGCTAAGAACTTGTTTTAGAATGCTGTTTTAGAATGCCAACAGATGATCATCTGAAAAATTATGTTGTGTTGGAGCTTGAAGCGCCAGTAAATAACAAAGTACAGGTGTTGTTCTTTTTAAAGCCCTTGACCGTTCAACGCATGATGTCCTTGAGGGTACGTGTGACAATTATAGTGGTAGCCTGCCATTCGGTGGAAAGAGTCTGCCGCATGTGGATTTGTTTTTCTTTTAATCTATAATCACCACTAATCATCTTCAAGCTAGATATATTGGTTTTGCATTCTTTTTTTAATCTCACTTTTATTCATTTTTACTGTCATTTCATAGGGTGGCGCGATACAAGGTTCAACTAAGGCAAGGTGCTGGAATCCAGAAATAATCGGATATTAATTTATTGAGATTAATTTATCAGAATATAATTTACAATTTATAAGTTTTAATTTTTTTTATGCAGTAAAATAAAATTAAACAATGATAAAAAAATAATACAAATTATCACAAAATCAACACCAAGATTTTTAACGTGAAAAACCCGATGCGGGAAAAACCACGGGACCGTAGTCCACCTAAAAACTTCCAATGTCCATAAATAATGGGTTCATAATCATTCTTTCTCAGATTCAACTAAGGGATACAATATATATATATCATCAAGAACAACTTATTCTCGGATTACAACAAGATTAAAGGAGAATTATTTGAGAAAAACTCACAATACTGACAGCCCCGTTTTCTATCAAAACGGTCAGCTTCCACACCACCAATCTTCGATCCAACCGTCCAGAATAAAGATCAACGTATCTAGAAGCTGTTGAAAAAATCTCAGTCCGATCTAACGGTGAACGAGCTGGAAATCGAAGAAAGAGCACAAGCTACTCTACTACCTCTTTTCTTTCTTTCTTTCTCGATTTTCTTCTGCTTTCTTTTGTTTTTCAAATCTGCATCTAAAGTACCCGAACCACATTATTTTGAATACCAAGAGACAAAAATTAATGCGGTGGTCCCACCATCACATGGTGCGGGACCATATACAACAAATCTCCCCCTTACGCACCATGTGAGGAAT